CTGTATTTGGAGTTTTCCGAGTGGTAATCCTTCTATTTTATAAAGCGCTAACTTTGTGTGTCGGTTTATGTCTGTATGTGTGTATGTATGTATGTGTATGTATGTATGTATGTATGTATGTATGTATGTATGTGTGTCCGTCCGCAAAATGAAGTGAGTGAGAAGGAAGCTCATGGGATAAACAAACCGCTAACAGAATCATGTAGCTCACAGGACTTTAGCTATTAGTGTTTTGCAATGGCATGATTGTGATAGCATCCCCAACGGCTATATAAACACGCACTTAGCACACTTTCGGTCATTCGACAAGGTGATGCTGTGGTAGCCGGCGAGCAGAGGGGAACGAGGGGAGAGTAAGGAGAGGAGGGAGAAGGGAAAGCTTACGCAAGGTAGGGAGGTTCCGGCGCTTGCCGGGGACCAATCTGGTGAGAAAAAACTTCAACAGGCAGAATCCTCAGGCCAATACTCATTGTGATTGTTCGACCGAAATGTGACCCCTGTAGTAAAGAAGAGCCAGAATCATGGGTAGGATTGCTAGAATTGGATATTACTCAATAAAAACAATCGGTAGATCGGAGTTGCTAGGACAGTGAAGCTCCATGTTCTTCACTGTTTTAAAGGATACAGCCGCGGGAAGGTAAAAAGTGACTTTAACATCAGCAGTCAGCTGTTGTTCATGACGTAAGTCATGTACGTAACGCAATATGGGTGCACGATTGAAGCGTGGAGCAGTAGACACTCGCACCCACTGGGGAAGGGTGTAATGTGATGCGGGGTACACCGTTATCCCAGTGAAAGGGCCTTTTGCAAAAGTCGCAATTGCTAATAACACTCCGGTGGTGCTCCTCCTCCTATAGCCGGGCCGACGATAGGAACGAAGGAAATCGATCGGTGATGGGTCAGAAAATTATTTTCCCCGATGTTCCTTTACTCTAAAATCGGGCGTCTTCTTCCTCACCAAGAGGGTCTGTTAGGATTTTTTTTGCAGATTTTGAATTGTGTTTTGTTTGGGAATGAAACGGAATCGGCGACGTCTATCGTTCTCCGCTTGGGATAATTCAACAGAGACACGTGATGCACTTTGTGCCTTTGAAAAAACTGATTGATGGTCATCGCGTCTGAGCGAACATAAAGATCTGAACGTCTGCTTTGGCACGTAGGAGTATTGATTTGGAACGAAGAGACTGCTGCTAAAACCTCGCATTTCCATTGCAATTCAAAAGCGTCTGTTGGGTGCTATGTGACATCACGGAACTTATTACAGTCTTGACATTGCCGTGCTTATTCATATATGCTTTGCACGCAATCGTTCTTCTTTAGGAACGTGCATATGAAATATTTTTGATGACTGAAGTGAGGGTTGTTTCGGGTTCAGTGTCAGTAAGATGTACATGCTGACTTTTTGAATACAATGGGCGCGTCGGGTGCACTTTATACAAAACGACTGATGACGCACGCCCGTATATTGGGGTTACGGTAGGCGCGAAATGTACGCGGGGCTATGATCTAACGAGACGCTGTGGGAATCGATAATCACTGCTTCTTTTGTTTTTTCTACTTTTGATGGTATTTCCTGCTGGATCGTTCAGATACACACTATTGAACGATATCGATGGACTAAGCCTTTGGGGAAGAGTCCCTTTCCAGAGGCTTAGTCCATCGATTATCGTTAGGTCATAGCACTGGGCTGCGGTCTCCACGTACATTTCGCGCCTACCGTAACCCTAAAATACGGGCGGGCCCATCGCACTTGTATTGCACCCTGCAATCAATTCATTCCCTGTCGGTTGCCAACTGCCTTTTTCCGGAGTCGTGGAAATGACTTGTGTTCCATTAGGCATGCTGTGTATCTCAGGAACTACAAGAAAAGGCACGTCCAAAGAGCTCTCACGAAAGAATTCTATGGGGTTTTGGGCTTCGTATAACGGCGTTCGTGATATGCAGAAGGCACTTTCCCGAAGTAGTAAAACTTTCAGTAAATACATTTTCCCGAAGTATTAAAACTTTCAAAAAATAGAGTGCAATGCTGGTCGGGTGGGCACACCGATTTTCCGAATGCAGTAGGCTCAAAATGCATGAGGGACTATGCTCATTGCGTCACGTAAATCGGTAGACTAAGCCTTGGGGATGTGGGGAGGAGCACTTTTGTGCCGTTACGTCATTGCAAAGGGCACCAGTCCCCGATACATACATGTTGCACCTACCATACCTATTCAAAAAGTGGGCATGCCCACCCGATCAGCACTGCATCAAAATTAGGTGTGTTGCCCAACACTCGGCTGATTATTAGTATTACAATTCACTAATTTACACTGGAACAGTTAAAACTGCAGAATGAATGTGATATCTGGCAGGGAACTCCTGCATTTTCCAACTTCTTTACTGCACTCTAGTGATCGCTCTGACCATGAGGGAGTTTGATCGTACCAACGGTATCGAAGTTCATTCCGCAGGGATCAACTGTTATTTTCGTACAAGCTTTCTGATTGGATTTTCGGGGTAAAGAGCACCTTATCACCAGTAATTATGTGAAATGGAGAAAAGTACTAGGTAGACTAATTTGCTCGTGTCTTCGACGACTTCGTGCCGCTTCTTACCATGAAGTTAGCCTAAACATGGACATATAAATCATTAATGTAGCTTGTCTATTCAATTCCACATAAATTTTGAATTCAGCAGAACGATTACATCGAGGAACTCTTAAAAAAGAGGTGAAATCAATGAACAAAGGTGTCATTAGTCACTTCGAGTATCATTAGGGATGACATTGAATTCGGCATGACATTTCACACTT